AACTCCCTGAACGTCTCGTCGGCCAACAAGCCGGACGATTCGATTTTCATCACCCAGGCCATGTCGCACGACGCGCTGTTCACGCGCGAGATATCCGACTTCTACAACGTGCCCATCGACTCGGACATCTACGCTTTCCCCGTGGACATGATCGAGCAGCAGCAGCAGCAGCAGCAACAGTTGATGGAGGAACAGCAGCAGCAGAAGCCCGCGGCGCCCACTTACCACAAGGCAAGCAGGCGAAACAAACGCAACAAGCGCAAGCAGCGCTACGGAGGATCGGGCACGGGCGCCGGAACGGAGACCAGCGACGGGGATGGCGAGAAGAGCAAGCACGGCAAGTACCGCACGCCCGTGGGCGTTGGCATGGGTCAGGTCAGCGAATCGGAGCCACTGCACATGACACTGGACGAGGTGAAGCAGTTCTACCACACCCTCTATTCGGATGCAGGCAAGCCCACGCCCAAGCCGATGGTCAAGTCGAGCAACGAGACCATTTGGAGTGTGTCGACCAATACCACCACCACCACTGCGAGAACGCGGAGCAGTGTGGGCACCACCCGAGGAGGTGGTGGCCCACCAGGTGCGGGCAATGGGGCTGGTGGGGCCAGCAGTGATGGTGGCGTTGGCGGGGGCAGCGGGGGCGTTGGCGGTGGCAAGTATCTGAGCAAGCAGAACAAGCACAACCTGGACAACGATAAGCTCAACAACAACAACAACAATAACAACCATCAGCCATCGCAACAGCAGCTGGAGAAGCCGCCAACGGAGCACCACAACCACAACCAGCACCAGCCACCGAATAACAAGCACGTCCTGCACTCGGAGAAGAAGTCGCAGTTCACGCTGAACCTAAAGCAGCGGTTCTGCAGCATCTTCCGCTTCCGGCGTAGCAATCACAGTCGTTGCCGAGGCTCGGCCGCCAATCCGACCGGCACCTACGCCAGTGCCAATGCGAATGCATCGGCAACAGCGCCCCTGATCCCGCCAGCTGCCGTGATAACCAGCGCTCCGGGGGCAGCGGGCCAAACCCAGTTGGCCAGCGAACTGAACGGGGCGGTAATTACGGCTGAGGCAGACGAACCAAATGCCGATCTGCGCAAGAAGTTCCAGTCTCGTGCCCTGCCACCACTACCAAAGAAGGGTGAGTAGTCGGCTCCCAAACTGGTGATCTTGTATGCCTATAATGTCGTAATTTTCCCATCCACAGCCGCAGCCTATGCCATTGAAGCCGTCAAACCGGAGCCGGAGGAGGTCAAGGCGAACGTCATCCAGGAACCCCGGGCACTGCAGTTCACCTCCAGCATTGAGAAAGTCAAAGATGTAGGTTTGAGGCTTACTACTCCCCGAAAAGTGCTAATCGTTCTTGATTTTGTTTCCCAGTATGGCTGGTACTGGGGTCCCCTGTCCAGCGAGGCAGCCGAGAAGGTGCTATCCAGCGAACCGGACGGCTCCTTCATCGTGCGCGACAGCTCCGACGACCACTACATCTTCTCTCTGAGCTTCAAGCTGAACAACTGTGTGCGTCATGTGCGCATCGAGCAAGATCAGGGTGCGTTTATATCATATACATCGATGACAATTACAATACTATATTCACATCGTGTTTATTCAACTTAACCAGGAACCTTTTCCTTCGGGTCGTATGCCAAGTTCAAGTCGCAAACCATCACCGAGTTCATTGAGAAGGCTGTCGAGCATTCGCGGAGCGGCAGGTTAGCACAGCCCAATAGTACTGCATCCACTTCATCACTGAAAACCCAATCCACATTCTCCCCCAGATATCTGTTCTTCCTGCATCGTCGGCCTGAGCACGGACCAATGCGAGTGCAGTTAACCAATCCAGTATCTAGGTTTAAGCATGTACAAAGCTTGCAGCACATGTGCAGGTGGGTTTGTCCCTCCGGTTTCCAGTATCATACATCCTTATAATACATCTATCATTTCAGATTTGTTATACTAAAGGCGGTTATACGAAAGGATCTAATACAGACATTGCCATTACCGAGAAGACTTCTAGACTATCTTAATTATAAGCACTGCTATTCTGAGCAGGTGGAGAGCGACAGTTCGCATTCGCAGGTGAGCTGATAGCTGCAGCTCTATATATCTTATGTGGTCCATGTATATAACACCTTCGCATACAATTCTATAGATATCTGGCGATGGAACGATGTAAGTGAGGGGATATCGAACGGAGACGATTCGCTTGTGACAACAAAACGTAAACGAAAGCAACAGAAATTATTACCTTAAATAAGTAGTAGAATTTAACGAAACATTAAACAACAAACAGTAACAACAAAGCAAGCAACAAACAAACAAACAACCGTTAAACGTTCTGTATAACAAGAACAGCGAAAAACAATAAGAAAACGAGAACACCAAACAAAAAACAAAAGTTACATGCGTAAGCAAAGCGAGGAAATTGTTAGTTTTGCTAAAACAAGAAAAGAAACAAAAACAACAAAAAACAAAAAACGAAAAACAAAAACCAGAAAAATCAAGGAAACAAAATTCAAACTCTGTTTATTGATCATTTTTTTGTACTCGGTGCTATACTATAAATATTAACTATTTAATGAGATGAGATGAACGATGGAAAACAAAAGAACAGAACATGACGATTATATAAATATAAATTAATTATGCGTAGTCAAGTAAACGAATAACAAAGTTGTACATAAGCAAGTTTGAGAGCCAGTAATCCAATTCCCACCCACAACCAAAACCTCAACCCCTTTAAACCTCCCACTTTGGGCACGAATCAGACAGAGAAGGAGAAAGATAACGAGACAAGGTCGTTGATGTTGATGTTTTGTGTAATCAATTAATTACTTTTATGCTTGCCTTTTAGCTGTGATTTAAATAAGTCGTCGAATGTTAATTGGAAGACGATGTGCAGTTTGATATTTGATATTTGATAGATTTGATATAGCCTAGCCCCCATATAGTTGAGGTTCTGTTATGCACACTCGATCTGAAACCATTTCGAAGCTGCTCAATCATCGCAACGCCCGTGCCCAAAGGTCCTTGAAGGGAAGCGAAGGATCCCCACCATTGGGGATCTCATATGACATAACCATTATTGTACTTAGTTTAATCCACGTCATGTACTCAAACGACGGCAACGAGGATCGATTGCCAGATGGAAGGGATGCCGAACACACAGATGAAGGGGAAACCAAGGAAACCTACAATTGTATTGTACTCTATTGTATTTAGGTTTATTTGAATTGTTAACTAATTTTTGTTTTCGGCTTTGTTATTTATGTTTTGAGCTCGACTCATTTGTACACTATTGCGTATGGTTTGTTTTTAGTTTGTAATGTAGTATTTATTTAGTGTCTGTTTTTTTTGTCGTAATTACGTATACGATGTAAGAGAACCCGCTCCCATCCAATCCAAACAAGTCCAATCCAAGCCAAGCCAAGCCAAATTCGAGTCCGTCGTGGGCTCTGCTCCTCTTTGAACATTAAACAAACAATATTTGTCTATGGAAATTAAATAAACGAATGAAATGACGATACAAATACAAAGCAATGCCGATGGTAGGAGAGCGGTGAGGAGGAGAGGAGTACGAACGGTCACAGTAAATGAGCAAAACAACAAAGGCAATATAAAGAACATTTTTAATAATAAAAATTAAACAAAGAACTTGTTGCACTTGTCCATTGACTTCTGGGGTTTTCAGTCCCATACTGTTTCTTGTAACCCAAAGCTGCATGCCTAATCTCAATATTCTAGCTTTTCTAGTTCCTGGGATCGAGACGTTCATACGGACAGACTCGGCTATTGATCCTGATCAAGAATATATACACTTTATACCATCGAGTAATGATCTCCGAAAAAATACCTTCTCAATTTTAAACTCATTTTTCAGACTTTCAGCACAGTAAAATGGATTTGCATTTTCTGCAAAAGAAAAGATCATTTGATGAATTTGGTAAATTCGTATACCATATATGTAGATGACATAGGAATAATAGTTTCATATATGTATGTATATGTATGTACTTCTCTCTGCCAAAATCTACACCTTGTACGAGTACCTAGATTTTTATATTACACATATTTTCTATTTTACACACTCTCTACTTATTGTAAATGTACATAAGAGCTGCAAAAAAGATATACGCATCGTGCAGTAGATGGCGCTGTATGCTCAATTGCGGACACAAGAAGCATACATAGGTGGCGCCAGTATGCACGTTTTTGAAAACGGAATTCATTTTTGATGAATTCTTTTCATAAGTACATTTTACTGATGCGCTTTAGTTAGAGAAAATATTATATTTATTGGAAAGAGTTTTTACAATAGAGTTTTTAAATGCATGAGTTTTCTATAATTCGTTTGTAACATTTAGAAAAAAAGGTTAATGATAACTAAAACTAAAAAGTATCATATTTAAACAGCTAAAACGCTATGTGTGGTGAGCTGCTTATCAATAGGACTCGAGCTGCGGTTTTACCAGCAACTTTCCCAATTAACTTGCGTCTGTCGATCTTCGTTTTCGTTTTCGGTTTCGTTTTCGAGCCAGGTAGTGCATCAAGTCGCCTCCGGGATCAGTGTTGCGAGAAGCGTATTACGCAACAATAAAAACTGTCACCGAATGGCGCCACCGGTAATCCGGCACTTTTCGCTCATCCCGCAGGTAACCTTATGAATGGCGGGAAAGACCATGGGATTTCCCGCATTGCCGGCCATTCATGAAACTGCAGCGGCGATGCGTTGCGCACACGTGTTGTCAATTACCTGGACTCCCAGTGTCGATCTAGAGGATCATATGCCTGCGGACGCATATATACCAGGTAGTTAGTTGGGATTTTCCAAGTGTTTTGTGAATGAAAAGGTTGAAAGCGACGGCGTTCGTATATAAGGCCATACTACTTGACCGGGACAATCAGAAGGCCGAGAAATCTAAAGCGATCCGCACCTCATAGATTCATAGACCTTGCGGGAGTAAACTAAAAACAAATACCTCATATTCAAAGGAAACATGGCTGTAGTAGCAAAAACCATGATTACCATCCTGCTTCTGAGCCTCCTTCTCGCTGGCCATGCGCTGGCCGCATCCACATCCACATCCACATCCGGCGGAGCGAATGGACTGCAAGGACGAGCACAGAGGATCGCCGAGTGCAGGGAGCTCTGCTACCGCCAAGCCATGCCAGTGATTACGCCGCCGCTGCTCTGCCGATCCCGGCCAGAATGCTACATGTGCCACGACTACTGCCGCGTCCTCGAGGTTGTCCAGCGCAGTCTGGCCAACTCCATGTGCGCGGATCGGGAGTTCTGCACCCGCGGATGTCGGGTGGCCTGCTCGTACCACCGCCTGAGGACCTCCCAGTTTCCCCAGGACGCGACTGCCAATGCGGTGATCAAAAAGTGAGCATGCTTCCCACACTGGGAAGCACTTGTACATAGTTCGCCATAAGTTAGCTCCTACCATAAGTGTACAGTTCGCATAGGGATAAGTTACTTGTACAAAATAAAATACGCTAAAAATTACAAAACTGCACTCCATTTAAACATTCTACCAGATTCAGTTGCGACTGAAGATATTTCTTGCTATCTGAGATATAATAACAACTCTACTTTTCACAAGCCATATTAAAAACCCATAAAAAGGCGAACTGTGCTATTGGATTTTGGAGTATTTAATAGGAACTTAATTTAATTTAGCAATAGTGAGGTTCACAGAAAATTCAATAAGTCCGCAAAACATCAAGGAAATCGCGTAAGCGCTCGTCAATTAGCGGCTGGGCCAATGATTATAATCATAATAATTATTAGTCCATAAAAAAGAAAGTCAACTGCAGTTTCTGCACTTTCGGCACTGTTTCTGTGCTTTTGGGCCCGTCGCTCTTCTCACGAACGCGATTGGCAATTGGAATTGGCCAGGCTGTTGCAGCCAGCTGTTGCAAAGGCAACTTTGCCGATCCGGTCTGGATGTTGGCTTTATTAATCACCAGCGATGGCCAGGAGCGGGAGCAGCAGGAGGAGCGGGAGGAGCGGGAGCGGGAGGATGAGCATGAGGTTCGAAGTTGAGGAGCGTACGAAATAATTTAAGCTTGCATATGAGGGAGAGTGCAAAAAATTAAATTAAAAATGCGGCGCACATAGAAAAAGGGGCACAACAGGTGGCCACGACCGGATATTGAATCGATCCCATATGTATGTGTATCTCATAACTTATTACTCGTATGTGGCATATGGTCCAGATGTCGTGCGATCAGAGTGCCTCGATAAGCAGGGCCGCCTAACGGTGCTGCAAGCATCTTTATCATGGTCAGTATGCGCCTGTGACTCCATCAAATTGTTTGCCCTAACACCTAATTACATAATTACATCAGTGCTTCCAATGGGTTAGCACCCGCCCGCCCCCGTTGGTGTTAGCTTTCAGGCCATAACCCCCATAATGGCCATAACCATGCCCCCTGCCGCTGCCGCTGCGCTGCTGTCACATAAAACCGTGGTGAGCGCATAAAAAGCGGCAGCGATGATCATAAAAAAATCGATTTGAAGTCTATAAAAATCATATCATACAAATTTTTATATGCCATGCTCGTTTTTAAATGTCACAATGCACCAGGCTGGGCAAAAAAAATCATTTTCCGGATGGGAGCCTAACGAACTGAGCCGCAGTTACAAAAGAAAATATTACCAACAAAAGGGGCGACCCCGATGTAGGGTATACAGACGAACTCCAGATGCCCTGCAATTGCCGAAAATTGCTGCAATATTTCACCTTATTAATTAATACTTATCTTTGAGCGTCTGTTAGATATCATTGTGCCTTTCATTTAATTAAGGAGGCTTGGAATATAAACATGATAGCACAGATATTATTATATTTCTTTTAAGCTTACTCCAAACATAACATCCACTTAAAAACAGCACATCGTAGTTTACGAAACGAATGAAGAAGGCAAACGCCTCTTCAAAAATGACGAGAGATGAAGATTTCGAAATGGAAAACTAAGCTGCGTTTTGAAAGGAAATTAAGAGCCGCGACAAATGGTGCAAAAGAAATGACAAATAAATTTTCCACTGACCAACAGGTGCTTGGAAATGGTATAGGAATGGGTATGGAAATGGGGATTCTCAGCAGACTATACTCACACCTATCCTATTTCTCTATCGCACCTCTTATTTCCCGGCTGCTTCTCCAGCGAATTGAAAACTTTTCTCGATGATGCAATAAATTCCCAGATAAATGTTAATTTACGAGTGGCGGAGAGCAGGCTGGCTGCAAAGGGAAAGGGTTAGGGGAAAGGGGAGGTGCCCCTGCGACAGGCTGTCTGGCGGGCATCCAAGCTGGGCACTACTCCATCCTCCATAGATGCCATGCCCATTGCCCCCCACTTTGGGGCTGCCCTCACTTGCGAGATTATGATTATTGAAATGTTTTTTGAGCCCGTCAAACCGAAACGCGGCGGGCGTGCAAATCACGAAGTGCTGTATCCAAATCCGGATATTTATATCTGTATTTGTACATGTGCAGCTACGTATTAATTAATTATAAGCCGCAAGGACGGGCGGACATGGGACAGCGAAGCCTCCATAACGTGCACGAAGGTGAGAAATCAATTTTCAGTATCTCGCTTTGTGTTTAATATTTTTCCAGTGAAATGCGCCGACCATCCAAAGTCGACGGCTGGACGACCACGACGATGATGAGCCTCTGTTTTGGCCTCAGCCTTTTCAGTTTGGCTCAAACTGAAGCCCCGGGCTTAGCTTGTGACGGCGGTTCAGGTTCAGACACTGCGAGAAATAGTTTCACACTTCCTATGCCTTATACTACCACTACCACAGAAAGCAGGAAGGAACGCTTTAGGCGAGCGTCGCGACTATCAGATACCCGCCACTCTATCGGTAAGAGTGCAAGGCAGAAATTTCAAAATATAAATTGCCGATGGGAATAGTTTATGGTATCCCAGCTGATACCCAATAACCCAAAATTTCCAGAAAACTTGAATTTACGTTTACAAAAACCGTATTTGAAATGAATTACTTGAACAGTTCGGATACAAGATACATGTATCTGCAGGATGCACCATACTTTTAAATAGTTCTAAATACTTTTCATTGGACAATAATAACACATTTCAGTGATGCTACATTTTATGAAAATCAACGTTTATAAGCCAGTACCAGCAGCTATTTCTTTCAGTGCACCGCATACTGGGATTCCGGTTAGGTCTCTTGTTCTGGGGCACGTAAATTAGGATAACAACGTGAAACATAATTATTACTTTGGACAGATATGGCAGCGTCTGCTGCGCCTGCGCCCCAAGTTGCTGGCTTCCTTGGAGGTGCCCAGCTCAGTTTCAGTTGGAGACCCCGTCCCAATCCCGGCCAGCTTTGGCTTTGTGGCCCAAATAAATGTATTAAAGTTGGTTAACGCCTTCATTTTGGGAGCCGCTCGCTCCGCCGATCGACGTCGCATTTTGTGGCCCTCAAAGTAGGTGTAATAAAAAATATGAATTGTTGTTATATTAAGATCCATCCAAACGGCAAACGGCAAACAGCAAACGGCAAACAGCAGGCAAAGATCAATCAGAGCTTTTTACGACCCGCAACGAACTGCAATTCGTGTGAAACTCACGATTGTTTGACCAATTTATTGGAGACGTCCTTTGTGGCTCAATTTGGAATAATATAGTAATACCCGCTACTCGTAGAGCAAAAGGGTATTCTAGGTTCGTTGAAAGGTATGTAACAGGCAGAAGGAAATCTTTCCGACCATATAAAGTGATATATTCTTGATCAGGATCAATAGCCGTGTCGAACTGGCCATGTCCGTCCGTCCGTCCGTCCGTCTGTCCGTATGAACGTCTCGATCTCGGGAACGTTTGCGCTGCCACTAGCTGAGTAACGGGTATCTGATAGTCGGGGAGCAATTGCCCAACTAGAAATGATTGTGCGACGAAAGCAGTTAAAGCACTTTGTTGCTTATTGATTGAAACTTATTCAAAAACAATGCCATAGACTTCAATTTGAATAAGTATTCCTAATTTTCAACTCGAATGCCAGTCATAAAGCATATTTAAACCACATCATACGAAATAAAATCTCACCAACAGAAGTGCGTGTGATTCCATCGTGTATGTAATTTATTGCCCAATTTATTTGCACAACCCGGATATTCCAGCTGCTTGACTTGACCTAATTCAATTAGGGCTGCTTTTGTGCACCCCGATTGGTTAATTGGCATTTGATTTCTGGGCTCATCAGCTAATTAACGCTAGCCGATCCGCAGACAATCCCCACCAGCTGAGACCGCTAGCCACCCGCTGGCTGAGCTCTGGCTTAGGTTCGATCCCAAGATCTCCAGCTCGCGAGATGCCCAGATCCCGAAAGGAAGTGCCACAAAATTGAAAATGCAAAACGAAATTGGCAGCGGCACAGAGTGATTCTCTGGTTCTGGTTCTGGTTCTGATTCTGATTCTGGGTCTCTGTTTCAGTTTCTGTGCTTTTCAGATTCCCGACTTTTTCGGATTCCGACGCGGTTCCTCTGCCTCTGGAGAGGGGAAGGTGGCAGGAAACGTGGGCCGTGGCCGTGCGTAATGAAGACGTTAAGCTCGGAGGATCAGCAGTGGGCTATGTGGATGTGGATGTGGATGTGGCTGTGGCTGCGGCTGGAGTCGAGCGGATCTCCAAGAAAGCTGCCAGGCATACGTCGCCGTTAAAGTCCAGCCCCATCTCCATCTCCATCTCCAGAGTTATTCTCCCGTTTTACCCTCTTTAACGATCCTCAGCTACACTGAAGATACCAAGTTAAACCATACTATGTGTAATGCATTTTCAGCCTTCACATATAACGTTGTTATAACATAAGAATACAATTCAAACAATATGACATGCAACAAAAAAAGAAGGCATACAAGCATGAACTAAATGAACAGAAGTGGGCTTTTCTCGCAGTGTGCGTAACTCATTGCGTCTCGTTTCGGTTCCGCTTGCATGTTAACTGAAATGAAAATTCGTATGAAGGCGAGAAATTAATGAATCATTCACACCTGTATGACGGATTGTCTGCATTACTCTCCACTCTCCACTCTGCATCTCGGCCTGGATCTGGGTCTGGGTATGGGTCTGGGTCTGGGTCTGGCCTCGGGATGGCTTGGGTTGCGGCTCCATTTTGTAGGACTCGAGTGCGAACGGGGGGCGCGGCCTGGCTGACGCTTCTGCCGAAGGAGTTGCCTTCTAATTTATTTGCCTGATGTGTGTATTACATTTGTGAGTCGGCCCGCTCCTGGCAGCCGTCCCTGCTCCAGCGGTCGCGAGTTGCATTTCTGCAAGTGCCCCGAGGTCCCAAACGGCGACTTTTGAGATGCCAACGGATGCTGATGATGGGTACCATGCTTGTCGGTGTGAAGAGGCACGGTGCTATTTAAGTTTTGTTTCCCCGAATCGCTGCAATATTCAATATTTGCTGTTTATGGATTAGAAGGGATGGTTCCACTTGTGTTCATTGTTCATTGGCTGGATATTGG